AGGACGATCAGGATCAGAGAACCCTGGTGGCTGCCGCATATAGACCTCCTCCTCCAGGACACCATGCAGAAAAGCATTCTGCACATCAAGCTGACGAAGAAACCATCCCCGAGTAACTGCAAGGGAGAGAAGAAGCCTGATGGTAGTCGGTTTAACAACTGGGCTGAAGGTGTCATCATAATCAAGACCATAACGCTGCCGAAATCCTCGAGCAACCAGCCGCGCCTTGTAGCGCTCAATAGAACCATCAGAATGCTTCTTCACTTTGAAAACCCATTTGGAATCGATGACATTAACTCGAGGTGGTGGAGGAACAAGGGTCCATGTCTTGTTACGAAGAAGAGCATGATACTCCTGTTCCATAGCCTCTCGCCAATGAGGTATGCTGAGAGCAGCTTGATACGTACGAGGCTCAGAGGTAGGATCCGCACGGATGGCAGCCAGGCATGCAGCCAACCAGGCAACCGTACCATTAGTACGCTGTTTGGGCTGAAATACTCCACTGCGACTCCGTGTATGTGGTCCTTGAGGAGCCACAGGAGGCACAGGTGGCGGTGATGGCGACGCCTCAGAGTGTACAGACGGCGAAGCAGGCGATGACGATGATGGAGAGGCCTCGACCACCGATGGAGATGCCTCAAGGAGCAACGGCGACTGGACTCCAGGGGCAGGTGAGCTCAGACCAGGCGAGCACGGCCCAGGCGAGCACGGCCCAGCCGCACCAGACCGAGCGGGTGACAAGGTCGGCGTGATGGTGGGCCGAGAGAACGGCGAGGCCTCCTGGCGAAGCGGCGAGGCCGGCTCAGCAGATGTGGTGACAGGCCGAGACGACGAAACCTCCGGGCGAAACGACGAGGCCGGCGCAGAAACTGACTCCGGGCCCATGGGCGACGAAGATGGCCCGGTGATCAAGGGCGCCGGTCCAGAGGCCGGGGGCACTGAAGCAGTCAGCGTAGGCAGAGGTTCGGCCCGATGTGCATGAGCACGATCGCCGAGGCCATGCAGGGACACCTCACGATCATCAGGAGGAGACGATGGCTCCTCCAAAATCTCCAACCGAGCCCCACGTCCAGTGCCTGCACCATGGTTAGGCAGCAAAATAGGAGAGTATGCAATATCATCAAATTGGTCAGATGCAACGGAGGATGAATGCAAAGGCAATGGTTCAGCAGTGGACATAGGAAGCTTCACAAAAGGAAAGACTTGCTCATCAAACACAACATCCCGAGATATGTAGACACGATTTGTGGGAACATGAAGACATTTGTAACCTTTATGAAGAGAGCTATAACCAAGAAAAACACACTTCTTGGAAGGAAACTCAAGCTTGCGTTTGTTATGAGGACGGAGATGTGGCCAACAAGCACACCCAAAAACCTTAAGGAAGGTATAATCAGGTTGTTCATTAAGGAGAACTTCGAGTGGAGTCTTCATATTCAAAACACGAGTGGGAGTGCGGTTTATGAGAAAACATGCAGTGGTAAGGGCATCACTCCAGAACCGAAACGGAACCGATGCATGGGCCAAAAGAGTAAGACCAGTTTCAACAATGTGACGATGCTTACGTTCCACAGAACCGTTCTGTTGATGTGTATGTGGACATGCTAAACGGTGAGCGATCCCAAGCGACTGAAAGAAGGAGTTGAGGTTGCGATACTCACCCCCCCAGTCCGACTGGACATGAACAATTTTGTGCTTGAGAAGGCGTTCAACATGTTTTTGGAACTGAACAACAATGTCAAACACATCAGATTTGCGTTTAATAAGGTAAAGCCAGGTAAAGCGACTATAAGCATCAACGAAACTGATATAATAATTGTGACCACTGACAGAAGTCTGAGCAGGACCCCATACATCAGAGAAAACAAGTTCTAAAGGATGTTTAACCTCACGACTGGACTCTGAAAAAGGAAGTTGATGACTTTTCCCTTGCTGACAAGCATCACACACTGCTACATCTTTATTACTAGACATGCTAGGAAGCTCATGACGACGCAAAACATGACGAACGATAGGTGTGGCCGGGTGACCAAGACGAGCATGCCACTGTGACGGAGATACCCGAACTCCACTGAACACACGAGCGACACCAGGATGCTCCAAACGATAGAGGCCCTGGCACAACCGCCCGCTAAGAAGAATGTCCCTCGTGCCCCGATCCTTAATAAAAAGATCAAAAGGATGAAATTCACAAAGCACATTATTATCACGTGTGAGTTTAGGAACAGAAAGAAGATTACGTGTCACAGAGGGAACTCTAAGCACATTACGAAGCTGAAGACTCCTATTTGCATGCCTAGTAAGAATAGATGCTTGACCAATATGAGATATATGCATACCTGCTCCATTGGCGGTGTGGATTTTGTCGGAGCCATGGTAGGGTTCGCGAGTATGGAGCTTGCCCATCTCGCTCGTCAGATGCTCCGTTGCGCCGGAGTCCATGTACCAGTGAGGATCAACAGAGTAGGACTGAGTGTGCCCTTGCTGCTTTGTGGCCGTCAGTTTTTCTGCCATGGCCACTTGGCGCGCAAAGTTGCGTGTGTCCTTGCCATCATTGCCGAGGCCCAGAAAACTCTTCTGAAAGCGCTTGTGACACTTAGAGGCCCAGTGTCCATCACGACCACAAAGCTGACGCACACGAGGACCGCCAGCCCCCGGTAATGTTGCAGTAGGAGGGGGGGCCGAAGTGGGCGGTGGTGGCAGCCCCGAAGGGACCCGAGATGATGAAGATGCGCGGCCACCCTTCGTGGCGGTGTTGGCCGAGAGGGAGCCGCTGCTCCTGGAGCGACGCATCTCAACCCGTTGCTCAGTGAGAAGGAGACGGGAAAAGACCTCGTGCGCCATCATGGGTGTGGAGTTGCCCCGCTCGTTAATGATCTCGACTAAGGCATCATACTCCTCATCAAGACCATTGACAATAAACGAGTTGAACTCGGAGTCAGTAAGGGGCTGTCCAATAGAAGCCAGCGTGTCGGCGAGGCCCTTGACCTTGTTGTAGAACTCGGTGGCAGTGGAGTCAAGTTTCTGACACTCCCCAAGTTGACGACGGAGCGAAGAGACACGAGCCTGCGACTGTGCTGCAAAGGAGCGCTCAAGGATGGTCCAAGCCTCATGAGACGTCTTGGCGAAGACAACAAGACCGGCAACGGCCGGAGTGAGCGACCCCTGGATGGAGGAGAGGTTCGCTTGGTCCTGCCCCATCCAAACACGATGCGCCGGATTGTAGACCGGGCCGTGCACGCTGTCGATAAGCGCAGGAGGACAGGGGAGAGAACCGTCGACGTAGCCAAGCAGGTAATGACTCCCAAGAAGCGGGAGGACCTGCGCACGCCAGAAGATGTAGTTGTCCGCCGACAACTTGATGGTGATAAGGTTTCCGAAGTGAAACGGCGGCGGCGGTAGAGAACCCGTGGAGACTGCCGGAGGCAAAGGCGCCATAGGGGCAGTGGCGACAGGCACAGCCGCGGAGATCGATGGCGCAGGAGCCGCGCCCGACGCGGTGAGACCGGCCATCAGGGCCGAGTCAGAGGCCTCCATCGGGGCAGCAGCGTTGGCGCTGGCGAAGGCGGGCAGGGAGTCGTCCGTCGTGGCGCTGGAAGTGCGGACCACCAGCGTGGTTCCCGGCGACGAGGAGAAGAAGGAGCCGACGCTCCTCGTCCCGATCGGGAGTGAAGCAGCCGCGGCGGAGTCGAGGGGCCGGGAGAGGAGGGCCGCCAGGGAGGCCGGCAGGTAGCTGGCCGTGGAGGATCCCAAGGCGGCGGATCCCGACATGGTTGCGGCGGCGCGATCGAAGATGGCGACGGCGCGACGTGGGGTGGCGGCGGCTTGGGGTGTAGCGGAAGCGTAGACCTAGTTTGATACCATGTAAAACAATAGGTTTAGGGAACTGGCTCATCCCTTTAGGGGTGGCCTATCTCATATATATATAACAAGGGGGTACAACGTTACATCGTACGTATTCATATACGTACACATATACAGGAGCTATACAGTCTAACATAAACGCACGTTCTCTCCCTTTGTAAACGCATCTCAGCTCATTGTATCGTTGTCCTTTTTTCATTTGCGGGAAGGATAAATTTCATTGATCAAGAGGGTTCATTACGTATTTACATTCAGCATTGCTCAGTGCCATAACAACATCCGGACCAGCTCTAAGCCACACAGCCGTGCGCTGATGTATCGCTGCCCTTGTCAACCCACATCGTCGTCAGCTGCATCATTATTATCATCGACTGCAACAGGTAAAAAGATGAAATTAAGGCATGTGATTCGTGCAGTAAAATAACACAGATGCAAAATTGTTTACTTGAATTTTACAGGGTCTAATTTAGTTTAAAATCAATCACGGAAGGAATGATCGACATGGACAAAAGCGCCAAGGTTGCGAGCTGAGGAGGCAACCCTGTGAGCATGGCTCCTTGCTTTGTACTACAATGACTTCTGATGAATAGAACGAAAGAAGATTAGACGGTCCAGCTCATCCCAGATCAAGTTAAAGGGAACTCGACAGCCCGAATGCAAGGAGTAGTGCTTACTTTCATAACTCTACTAGTATAGTTAAGTTTACCGCCAACCATCCTGTTTACTGAATACCTATATAAGCCTGGTTGTGGTAGGGTTCGAGTATTCTGCAATGTCCCAGTTCTGCCGTCATGGACAGAATTGAATACATAATAATATTCATATGAAATGCTCATATTCAACCGAAATGTGCAAGAACTAGATATCAAAATCACCCCAAAAAATATGTACTTCTAGAGAAACCTGGCACACGAATATAATAAATCTAGCCAAAAGTAAAGGAACTGAATACGGCCAGTAAGATCCACGGGCCAGACAAGACTGATTCATACAAGCCGTGTTAGCAGTCTGAAGACGTAGTTCCACATGAATGAGAGCTCTTTTGGTTCCTAGCAGAACATAAGGATTAGAAGGTCCTGCCTGCTTGCTCTAGTTTAGTGAAAACTAGCACACGTTGCATCCCTGGAGTCAGTGTCTCATTGCTCGCCTTCACCCGGAGGGTTCTTCATCAGTTCCCTAGCCTTCCTGCATGAATTCATGAAACGTCAGCTAAAAGGTCCTCAACATTCAGCCAATAACTACATGATTATCCGTTCTGAAAAAAAAAGAACTACGATTCCTCTTCCTGGGGATAACATCGTAGGTCCCTAAAAGTTACTGATGGCACTTCACAAAAGAGCTTCTCATCATCACTATTTAATAGATGAGAAGCAGAAGCAGAGTTTACCGATGTAAAAAAAACGTGGAAAGAATTGCACCAGTGGCACATAACTGCTTCTAACAACAGTAGAAATATGTTCCCAACCTAAAACCATACTATCATTCGGAAGACACTCAAAAGAGATAAGCATGTAAGAAAGTGGGCTTATCGTAGTTCACCCTCAATTTTGGCATTCCCAGGATCCAAATTTTGTGCGTCCAAGAGAGCATCACAGGCTTGTTTATACTCCTGGGTGCAAAGCAAATCAAAGAGCGTGACCAAACTGCAATATCAATATGAATTATGAAATACTCCCTCCGTTAATAAATAGAAGATGTTCTAACTTTTTTCTGAATCAGATGTATATAGACATGTTTTAGTGTGTTTGTTTACTTATTTCAGTCGGTATGTAATACTCCCTCAGTCCGAAATTACTCATCACGAAAATGGATGCATCTAGACGTATTTTACTTCTAGATACATCCATTTTTATTCATTTCCGCGACAAGTAGTTCGGGACGGAAGGAGTATATATTGAAATATCCAAAACATTTTATATTTGTGAACGGAGGGACTAGGTCATCTGTGAACACACTGGCAAGCTAGACGTACCTTGAGTAGCATGTGAGCTGCACCTTGACGGTAGCAAGCTTTTGCCCAATCAGGTCGCAGCATTCTGCACATGAGAGCATCTGACAAAGCACCTTCACCATCATCCATGAGCAGTTTGCAAAGACTCCTGTTTGCATACAGTGTTACACTCTCTGTATGCTCTATTGCCTACACTCAAAATAAGAGGTCATGCAAATATTATTCTCAACTTAAAACGATAACATGCAAAACTTTTATTTTAATGGTCGTTATGGACTTCACACATGCTAACAGCTACTCTCTCCGTTCCTAAATATAAGTCTTTTTAGAGATTCCACTATGGACTACATATGGAGCAAAATGAATGAATATACACTCTAAAATATGTCTATATGCACCCATATGTAGTTTGTGAAGGAATTGATGAAGCGTCTCAATCTCCAATATGGAGACCCGCATGTGTATATGTTGATTGTGGTGTCTCGTACAACCGTGCCACGCACGTCAGGGAATACTTCGAGGGAAAAGAGAGAGAGAGATCCTCACGCTAGGGAGTTACAGGAGGTTGAGGAGATAAGATACAACTCAAAGGAATAAACCTCTTGGCTCCTAACAACCGAGCCGTGACTAGATAACTATGATTAACACTCTCCCTTAATCAAAACTTACTTAAGTTAAGGTTATGTTTAAACTCCTCAAATAGTCTTGAGAGTAATGCCTTTGTGAAACCGTCTGTAACTTGATCTCTAGAGGGCACAAACTGAATTTCCAATTCCCTGTTAGCAACTCTCTCTCTAACAAAATGATAATCTATTTCGATATGCTTGGTTCTTGCATGAAACACGGGATTAGCTGACAAATAGGTAGCACCAAGATTATCACACACAGACATGGAGTTTTGATATTCTGTATCCCGAGTTCTCTTAGCACCATTTTTACCCAAAGAACCTCTGTTGTTGCATTTGCTAATGCTTTGTACTCTGCTTCTGTACTGGATCTAGAACCTGTGGCTTGTTTCCTTACACACCATGAAACTAGATTAGGACCAAAGAACACTGCAAAGCCACCAGTTGATCGTCTATCATCCAAACATCCTGCCCAGTCAGAATCTGAGAATGCACTAACAAGAGTAGATGATGATCTGCTGAATGTCAGTCCAACATTTAAGGTGTTTTTCACATATCTCAATATACGCTTAGCAGCAGTCCAGTGTGCTGTAGTAGGTGCATGCAGAAACTGACAGACTTTATTAACAGTAAAAGCAATATCAGGCATGGTGAGTGTCGGTGTCAAAACCGGCGGATCTCGGGTAGGGGGTCCCGAACTGTGCGTCTAAGGCAGATGGTAACAGGAGGCAGGGAACATGATGTTTTTCCCAGGTTCGGGCCCTCTTGATGGAGGTAAAACCCTACGTCCTGCTTGATTAATATTGATGATATGGGTAGTACAAGAGTAGATCTACCACGCGATCAGAGAGGCTAAACCCTAGAAGCTAGCCTATGGTATGATTGTATGTTGTCCTACGGACTAAAACCCTTCGGTTTATATAGACACCGGAGGGGGCTAGGGTTACATAAGGTCGGTTACAAAGGAGGAGATGTACATATCCGTATTGCCTAGCTTGCCCTCCACGCCAAGTAGAGTCCCATCCGGACACGAGACGAAGTCTTCAATCTTGTATCTTCATAGTCCAACAGTCCGGCCAAAGGATATAGTCCGCTTGTCCGGATACCCCCTAATCCAGCACTCCCTCAGTAGCCCCCGAACCAGGCTTCAATGACGATGAGTCCGGTGCGCAGTGTTGTCTTTGGCATTGCAAGGCGGGTTCTTCTCCAATTTTCAAGTGTTTGTAAGCAGTGTCCGGCTCCATAAATGTTGAACCTCTTGGCTTCTGTGCCCAGTAAGGGCTATCTCCCACGCGTCGAATGAATACGAGGCGCCAGGGCGTTTTTACATTCGCCCCCTAGCCAGATAAATAAATTATCTATTAAAGGGATGGGGATTCTTAGATCCGATCCAAGCGAGAATCCATCAGAGCGCATTTTGGAAAGATCCATTCCAGCATGGCCGACCTCCGCAGCTCCTCCTCCCGCCCCCGTAGCCCTAAGCCCGATGATTGGGAGAGGTGTTCAGTCCCGCACAGTCGATTAGTCGAACTGCAAACTAAGGGATTTCTCCCTCCGGCGTATATGGTGCCCGTTCGAGCCGGGCTTGCCACCTACAATGGTGGGGAGCAAGCGGAGAGCTTTCCCTGTCCCTCCATGGGGGAACGGGTTTGCCTTGTTCCTTATTTACTAAGGGGACTCGAATTTTCAATTCATCTGTTTCTCTGTGGGCTCCTGGAGTTCTACGGCCTCCAATTACACAATCTCACCCCCGCCTCCATTCTACATATCGCCGGCTATGTTGCTCTATGCGAGTTGTTCCTGGGCTGCGAGGCTCACTTCGAGCTGTGGAAAAGGCTATTTTGCCTTGTCCCTCGCATACAGAGGAGATCACTTTATCAAGTGGGCGGAGCCGAAATATGGCGCATCGCCGATACCGGATACCTGTCCGGTACCCCGAAGAAGTCGTCCGAAGACTGGCCTTCAGAATGGTTTTATTTGGAGGACGTTCCCCTTCCGGACCCTGTTCAGCAGGGTCTTCCTGAGTTCAACAATGCTCCTCTGAAGAAGCACCAAAGTTGGCGCCCACGGAGCCCGCAGACGGAAGACAACGGAGAAGTCCTCTATCTGATGAACCGGATCAAAACACTGGCTCAGTCAGGATTGACAATAATCGAAGTTATGTTGATTTGCATAATGCGGGGAGTGCAGCCACTTCAATATCGTGGGCACCCCTTATGGTGTTATAACGGGGCGGATGACACCACCCGCTGCGGGAGTAAGGGTCCGGACAACGCTGCCGCTCTAGCGAAAATTCTGTCCGAACTATTCAAGGGTGAGGAAGAGGAGTTCACCCGCATCAAGCCACGGGATGGATTCTCCATGTACAATCCTCCAAGCTGGGTAAGTTATATCTCCCTGCTTCCATTTTTCTCGCATTCTTTGTCGTAAGTATTCACCTTGCCACTTTGTGGCGGGAACTGTGAAAAGCCATGAAGGAGGTCAGCAGCCCCTCTCCACAACCAGAGGACCCTGACCGGGCCCTCGACTCTGGACTTGAAGAAGATTCAGTTATATTCGTGGAGCTGATAGACCGGCAGTTCTATCAGTTAAGCTGCGATGATGCCATGGTGGCCATTACGGCCGACTATCCCGGACTGCTCCCTGTATCGCAAGTAAGAAAAACCAAAAATCCCAACTCCAAAACTAGGATCCCCTTTTAGGAACTTCACCCACCATATACACATGGCATCTTTTACAGGGAAGGCATTCGGGACGCCCTGCCGAACCCGCAGCAACTCGCCAACAAGAGGCACCGAGGCCGGGTAGGCCAAAAAGGAAGGCGGTCAGGACGGAGATGCCGGCGCAAAGGTATAAGAAAAACACCGCTCTGTGGTTGTCGTGTTTCTCGAAATGTAATGACGCCCGTGTTTCTTTAACAGAAAAAACGCTCGCCGGAATATGTCCGGCGATGTTGCCAATCACGCTTCCACCAGTCGGGCGCCAGGACCGGACATGGAGGCAGAAGCCGATATGGGGCAGGCACCGGATAATCCCCTTACAGAGGATGCGGATAGATTATCCGCTACAAACTCAGAAGTGGAAAGCGCCATGAATCATAGGCGCCGCTGGGTCGTACTCCGTGACGCTTGTTTCTCACCAGAGACGTTTGACGCCTTCAATTCTGGATAGGCGTACCTCCGTGCTGCTCAAGATGGTCTAGCCAGAGCCACAGATCAGTATGTAAAGGATGTACAGGTGAGTAAATCTGACGATTTATATGTATCAGTAGCCCCTGAGACTTGAAACAGTTAGCAGAACTGATTTACGGATCATCTTTATTGTGCAGGTTCTTACAGAGAAGAATACTAGGCTATCACAGGAGTTAGAGGAATGCAAGACCCAACTACGGGCTGCTGTGGCCGCCTTGCAGGAACCGAAAAAGTCGTCTGCTGGTAACATTTACTTTAAAGAATGGTGGTACCATATAACGTGCGGCATGGCTGCAGATCTAACAACAGATGTTGTAGATGAATCCGGAGAGAATCCGGAGGACCAGCATGTTATGCGACAGCTAGAGGCTGGCAAACGCGTGCTGACTGAGGTTAGGCGGGAGAAAACAATCTCCAAGACGCCAATATTAAGCTGAACGTGGAACTAAAAGACGTTCGGGGCCAGCTTGCAGACTCCGAGAAGGAGAATAAGGGGCTTCGGCGCAGCATTTTCAGTAAGTGCTTGAACGAATCCTTTTGAAGGAGTTCAGCGAAGAAGCCGACTAATAGCGTTATGTCTGTAGGTATGCTGACGGGTCATCCTGCGGAGGAAATGCCCGGGTCTGCGGGTGATCTTATGTCTGAGCTGTCACATCTGCACGAACAAGTTCGGCAGGTGATGCAGGGTGTTGCCCAGGCCTTGTGGCCGTCTGTCTCCCTGCTAGAGGGCGTTGCCGAGCTTGCGGAGAAGTTCAAGGGAGCACGGCGGCGCTTCCGATTGTGGAAGATATCAGCCTGCCGACAGGGTGCCAGAGAAGCCTGGGCCATGGTGAAGACGCGGTATACCAAGGCAGACCCAAATCACATGGCCGAGGTCGGACCCGTGGGGCCCGACGGGAAAGAGATCCCTGTTAGCTTAGTTTATGGGCAAGTAGAATTAGCCGCAAAGTATTCTCAACAGGATTATAAGCTAGACCGCCTGTTGGATGGTATAGAAGAGGAATTTAGTCAGTCTGCATGACTATGTAATTAAAGTGACATGTATAATGCCTTCTAGCCGGATTGTAGATCATTTGTCGTTGCGGACCTTTTCGCTTTAACCTCCGGGCCCAATAGTCCGGAGTGTATCCGAATACCCGCTCAGTTATATAAGAACCGAGGTATGCGTGGAGACCAGGCGTAGGGGTCATTAGTGCTTTATCATACAAGTGCCCAACTAGTTATGTTATATTACATGGGTAGTAAGAAACATCTTCCAGGGAGAATAGTTCCGTTAAGGGTTCCTTTCCCTGGGTAAGCATGCCCTAAAGTGCATGTCCGGACTGCGATAGGAAACGCAGGAAAAACATCTGGGGGCAGGTATGGATAATAAATAAAAATCATCTTTTGTTCACTGACCGAATATTCCCTTAAGAACGCTAGCTTTCGGCTTCACCCAGTCTGAGGTACACATCCGACTGACCCGGCAGTAACAATCGCAGAGGTGCTCCACTTATGCCCTAGCCGAATTAACGGGAACGTAGGGCATAAATACAAGAGCCAGGCAACCCAGCTTGGCCAAAACTTAAGTCATATCGATGCATATAATGGTGAAAAAAGGTACATGCGGAAGTATAACACATGTGTGTGGCATGAGGCCCAGATAAATAATTTAAGCTTCTACGAAAGAAGCCCCCAGGTATGAAGAGTGCGGCTAGCGCATCTGTAATGTGCAAGCGAGGCACAAGGTGACCCTTGAAGGCCTAGAGAAATAATAAAAGAAAGAAAGAAAGAGAAACAAGACAGATAATGCATATGCAGAAAATGGACAAAGGGAGGGGACTAACATAGAGTCCGGTGCTAGGCGTAGAATCTTCGGAGGCTGACCGCGTTCCATGGGTTCGGCTCAAGTCGACTAGTCGATGCATCCCGCAGTCGATACGCTCCACCGGTCAGAACTTGGTCAATAATGAAGGGACCTTCCCATTTGGGCTCGAACTTGTTCTTTTTCTTATCCGGTAGGCGTAGAACTAGGTCGCCAACGTTATAAGTTTTGGCCCGTACTTCTCAGCTTTGGTATCTGTGAGCCTGTTGCTGATAAAATGCGGAACGGGCTTTAGCTACGTCGCGCTACTCCTCCAGGGTGTCCAAACCGTCCTGCCGATCGAGCTCGGCTTCTCTTTCTTCGTACATGCGCACTCGAGGTGAGTCATGAATTATGTCCCAGGGCAAGACTGCCTCTGCGTCGTACACCATAAAGAAGGATGTATATCCGGTACTACGATTCGCCGTGGTCCGTAGCCCCAGAGTACGGAGTCGAGCTCCTCTACCCAGTGCGTGTTAGACTCCGTTAAGGAGCGCACTAATCTGGGTTTAATGCCGCTCATTATAAGACTGTTTGCTCTCTCGACTTGACCGTTGGTTTGTGGATGATAGACTGAAGCATAATCGAGCTTGATGCCCATTTTGCTGCACCAGAGTTTTACCTCGTCGGCCATGAAGTTCGTGCCATTATCAGTGATGATGCTGTGGGGGATGCCATAACGGTGTACAACCCCGGATATGAAGTCTATCACCGGTCCGGATTCAGCTGTTTTAACAGTTTTGGCCTCTATCCATTTGGTGAATTTATCCACCATGACCAATAAGTATTTTTTCTTGTGGGTTCCCCCTTTAAGGGGTCCAACCATGTCAAGCCCCCAGGCCGCAAAGGGCCATGTAATGGGGATTGTTTGGAGGGCGGTGGGTGGCATGTGGCTTTGATTTGCAAAGAGCTAGCAACCGGTGCAGCGTTGGACCAAGTCCTGTGCATCTGCCCGGGCCGTTGGCCAATAGAATCATGTATGGAAGGCCTTTCTTACAAGAGCCCGGGCTGCGGCGTGATGACCGCCGAGTCCGGCGTGAATTTCTGCCAGAAGATTCCGCCCTTCCTCGTCGGAGATGCACCTTTGAAGGACTCCGGTAGTGCTTTTTTTGTACAATTCTCCCTCATGAACCTTGTAGGCCTTGGATCACCGCACTATGCAACGTGCCTCATTTTGGTCCTCCGGAAGTTCCTGTCTAGTTAGGTAGGCCAAGAATGGTTCTGTCCACGGGGCAATAATGGCCATTATTTCGTGGGCTGAAAGTGTTATTTTGGCGGCAGAGCCTCCGATTGTGTCAGAGAGTTCGGTATCGGGTATTTTGGCCGGGTCCGGACTGTTGTTACCGGTGTCCCCTTCCCATACTACGGATGGCTTGAACAGCCTTTCCAAAAATATGTTGGGGGGACCGCATCACATTTTGCGCCGATATGGGCGAGGATATCCGCCGCCTGATTGCTTTCCCGAGCCACATGGTGAAATCGAGCCCCTCGAACCGAGCTGACATTTTTAGGATGGCGTTTCAATAGGCTACCATTTTTGGATCCTTGGCGTCAAATTCTCCATTTATTTGGGATATTGCGAGGTTTGAATCCCCACGCACCTCCAGGCGTTGAATGCCCCTAGAGACTGCCATCCGAAGACCATGCAACAGAGCTTCGTATTCGGCTGCATTGTTGGAGTCTGTATACAATATTTGCAATACGTACTGAATGGTATCTCCGGTTGGGGACATCAGGACGACGCCAACCCCTAGACCAGCCAGCATTTTAGAACCGTCGAAGTGCATGATCCAATTGGAGTATGCGCCGTACTCTTTAGGGAGTTCGGCCTCCGTCCATTCGGCGACGAAGTCAGCCAATACTTGCGACTTAATGGCCCGTCGAGGTTTGTATGTTATGTCAAACGGGAGGAGCTCAATGGCCCATTTAGCAATCCGACCCGTAGCGTCGCGGTTGTTTATAATATCATTAAGTGGCACTTCCGAGGCTATTGTAATCGAACACTCTTGAAAGTAGTGTCGCAGCTTTCGGGATGCCATGAATACCGCATAGGCTATCTTTTGATAATGTGGGTACCGTGATTTTCATGGAGTGAGGACAGTGGATACATAGTATACCGGCTTTTGAAGAGGGAATATATGTCCGGCAACTTCTCGTTCGACAACGAGTACTGCGCTTACAACTTGATGAGTTGCCGTAATGTACAACAACATTGGTTCGCCGATGTTTGGCGCGGCCAGGATTGGGTTGGTTGCCAAAATGGCCTTTATTTCTTCCAATCCAGCTGTGGCCGCGTCCGTCCACTCGAAGTGTTCGGTGCACCGAAGGAGGCGATAAAGGGGTAAAGCCTTTTCTCCTAAGCGGGAGATAAAGCGGCTTAGAGCCGCCACGCATCTAGTTAACTTCTGGATTTGTTTGAGGTTTGTTGGGGTAGCCAACTGTGACAAAGCTCGGATTTTGGCCGGATTAGTTTCAATACCTCTACTGGAGACAATGAAACCCAGGAGCTTTCCGGCTGGTACACCAAAAACGCATTTTTTCGGATTGAGCTTGATGTCGTACATTCGGAGGTTGTCGAATGTGAGCCTCAAGTCGTCTATCAAAGAGTCGACATGTTTGGTTTTGACGACCACATCGTCTACGTATGTCTCTACTGTTTTCCGGATTTGTTTCTCCAGACATGTCTGAATCATGCGCTGATATGTTGCGCCGACGTTTTTGAGCCCAAAAGGCATTGTGTTAAAGCAGAAGGGACCGTATGGTGTGCTGAATGCCATTGCGGCTTGGTCGGACTCTGCCATCTTGATTTGGTGGTAACCGGAGTATGCGTCGAGGAAACGCAATGACGCGTGTCCTGCGGTAGCATCAATGATTTGATCGATGTGTGGGAGGGGGAAGGGATCCTTTAGGCAGGCTTTATTGAGGTCTTTGAAATCGACACAAAGGCGCCATGATTTGTCCTTCTTTGGTACCATCACCAGGTTTGCTAGCCAATCCGGGTGTTTTATTTCTCTGATGAATTTGGCCTCCAATAACTTGGCTAGTTCCTCTCCCATGGCCTGTCTCTTAGGTTCGGAGAAACGCTGAAGAGCTTGCTTGACCGGCTTGAATCCCTTTAGGATATTGAGGCTATGCTCGGCCAGCCTGCGTGGGATTCCTGGCATGTCTGAGGGATGCCAGGCGAATATGTCCCAGTTCTCGCGTAGGAACTCTCGTAGTGCGGCGTCCACAGCGGGGTTTAACTGTGCCCCGATGGAGGCTGTTTTTGTAGGGTCCGTTGGGTGGACTTGGAATTTGACTATTTCATCCGCTGGTTTAAAAGAGCTGGACTTGGATCTCTTGTCGAGTATCATGTCGTCCCTGTCCACTATGGAGCGTAGCGTGGTTAAATCCTCGGCCGAGAGGGCTTCGGATAATGCTTCGAGGGCCAATGCAGCTGTTTTGTTTTAGGCGCGGAGTGCTATGCCCGGATCGCTGGCGAGAGTGATGATTCCGTTGGGCCCGGGCATTTTGAGCTTCATGTACCCGTAATGGGGTACGGCTTGGAAGATTGTGAACGCCTCCCATCCTAAAAGAGCGTGATAACCACTGTGAACGGGGCCACTTGGAATGTAATTTCTTCGGACATGTAATTATCCGACGTGCCGAATACCACATCTAGTGTGATTTTCCCAACACAGCGTGCTTTCCGACTGGGGATGATTCCTCTAAAGGTTGTGCTACTTTGCTCAATGCGGTTCCAGTCTATTTCCATCTTTTGAAGAGTTTCCTCATAGATGAGGTTTAATCCGATGCCGCCGTCCATGAGTACTTTGGTGAGTTGAAAGCTGTCCACGGTTGGACTGAGGTCCAGTGCGGCTGGTGCTCGGGCTGTTCGGAATTTAGGTTCGTCACTGGCATTGAAGGTAATAGCCGTGTCACTCCATGGATTTATTGCTGCTACGTGGCAGATTTCGGCCATGCTGCGGAGTGTTCGCTTGCGCTTATTATTTGACGCGAAGGTCTCAAAGACTGTTAACACCGTATTATTATCCACGGGATGGTGCTCTGTGGTATTTGGGAGAAGAAGATCCTCACCACTTTTGACCACCTGCCGAAGTATCCAACATGCTCTAAGGCTGTGCGTTGGTATTGTATCCGCTGTACTATGAATATTGCAGAGTCCGTTGAGCCATCCCTCCAGTACGGTTCCATACCCTGTAGAGGGTTTTTGCTTTTTGGTAGTTGAGCCGGGTGTATTGTGATAATGCACCCTTGTATTTCGGACTGGGTTTGTATTCAGGGCCGAATTATCCCAAAAGTTTGTTTTGGTTTTCCAGGCACTTTCCATCGCACAGTACTTTCGTACTATGGACGCCAAGTCAGCGAGGCGTGTTATCTCACGGTGATTTATGGCGTTAAGGATTCCCTTGTCCGTGCAATTATTGCAGAAAAATAGGACTGCGTCTTCCTTGTGACAGTCCTTAACCTTGTTCATCGCAAGGAGGAATCTGGCCCAATAGTGATGTATTGTTTCCTGGGGCTCTTGCCTGATGTGGGAAAGATCGGTTATGTTTGGGTGGGTGGAATTGAATCCGAACCCTTACCCGATCTGGGATCCAGGGGCCGAGGAGTTTCCAATTTTGGAAGTTCCGGTTCCGGGGTGTTACCCGATAATCTTGGCCCGCTGCTTGACTCTAAGTTCAGGGATTGGATGTTGTCCTCCCGCGAACGGGCGTCCGGCTCGGAGAGCTCGGGAATCCGGACATAGTTGGTCATTAAGATAGAGGAAAGGTTGCCGCATTGTTCCTCCACCACTGCAATATGATGGGTGACCGGTGGAGAGTTAATCTCCCTTTGATCGGGTTTAAGCCCACTCCGATCATGGTCCGTAGCGACTCCCAAGGCGGCGATGCGATCCAAGTGCTTGTTTAAGGAGGCGAGCTCCATTGGATCCATCTGTTCGGCGAGTGCCGATTTGACGTGGAGGCTGTTTTCGATGACCCGAGAAGTCATCGTCGGCGCGGCGGCCGAACAGGCGGTCATGATGAAACCGCCTAGCCGGAGAGTTTGGCCTACAGCCAAAGCTCCCCCAACAGTAGTACCGTCTTTAAAGACGAGACGAGACATCCTTCCTTCTGGCGACGGCACAGAGGAACTCTCAATGAAAGCACCAATGTCGGTGTCAAAACCGGCGCATCTCGGGTAGGGGGTCCCGAACTGTGCATCTAAGGCGGATGGCAACAGGAGGCAGGGAACACGATGTTTTTCCCAGGTTCAGGCCCTCTTGATGGAGGTAAAACCCTACGTCCTGCTTGATTAATATTGATGATATGGGTAGTACAAGAGTAGATCTACCACGAGATCAGAGAGGCTAAACCCTAGAAGCTAGCCTATGGTATGATTGTATGTTGTCCTGCGGACTAAAACCCTCCGGTTTATATAGACACCGGAGGGGGCTAGGGTTACACAAGGTCGGTTACAAAGGAGGAGATGTACATATCTGTATTGCCTAGCTTGCCCTCCATGCCAAGTAGAGTCCCATCCGGACACGAGACGAAGTCTACAATCTTGTATCTTCATAGTCCAACAGTCCGGCCAAAGGATATAGTCCGGTTGTCCGGATACCCCCTAATCCAGGACTCCCTCAATGAGAGTCAAATATTGAAGTGCACCTACCACACTCCTATAGTTTGTGCCATCTTCTTGACTTAAAGGATCACCTTCTGCAAGAGACAACTTTTCTGTACTTGACAATGGAGTTGACGATGGCTTACAATTTTGCATCCCAACTTTAGTCAAAAGATCAGTTGCATATTTTTCCTGAGACAAATGAAGACCACCCTGTGTATTTATCTTAACTTCTATACCAAGGAAGAAGTGCAAATCTCCTAAGTCCTTAAGAGCAAACTCTGATTGTAAGTCTTTCAGTAAAGCTGTGACTGCATCATTGGAGGAACTGGTAACAATAATATCATCAACATAAATAAGCACAAATATAGATGTGTGTGACTTATTATAGATGAACAATGATGTATCTGACTTAGAAGGAACAAAGTCAAGTTGTTGCAGTTTGGAACTTAAACGAGAATACCATGCCTTGGGAGCCTGCTTCAATCCATAGAGAGACTTGTCAAGCCTGCATACATGAAATGGTGCATTTTTGTCCTCAAACCCAGGAGGTTGTTTCATATACACTTCCTCTTTCAGAACACCGTGAAGAAACGCATTCTGCACATCTAGCTGTCGCAGACTCCATCCTCATGACACAGCAACAGAGAGAACAATACGAATTATAGCAGCTTTAACAACAGGACTAAACGTGTCCTCATAGTCTATTCCATACCTCTGTTTGAAACCCTTTGCAACAAGTCTTGCTTTATAGCGATCTATGGTACCATCAGACTTTCTTTTTATTCCAAACACCCATTTGCAGTCAATCAGATTGTTACCTTGTTGAGATGGAACCAAGCGCCAAGTCATGTTCCTATGAAGTGCCTGAAATTCCTCTTCCATAGCCTTTTTCCACTTTGGGTCTGAAAGTGCCTCATGAAATGTGCGAGGTTCACCTCATGAGCAAGACAAGCCATATTTAACTTTATAATTAGTAGGTTGAATTACCCCTGCACGAAGGCGGGTACGCAGTGGAGTTAACGCTGGCGCACGTGACGGAGTAGGTGAAGCAGAAGATCCCGACTCCTGTTCCTGGACAGGGGATCCCAAGGCTATGCTCTCTTCTGCAGACCCCATAGGATTTTCTGTGGCTAAACCGGGCGTTGGTGAAGGCAGATACGACGTAGTGGATCCTGACAGCGCAGCAGAACTGTTGTGGGATCCCGTGCCGTTTGCCGCTCCACCCGACGAGCGCAGGGGATCCAGCGGGCCCCGCCTCCTGACGTAGCAGCGGGGTTCGGCTGAAAAGCGCGTGACAGTGGGACCCACACAAGGAGTCATGTCGAGCGCCGGTTCATGCGAGGGATGCACGCGCGAGGGCGACCCAGCCGGGGGCCGCGTCATGATCGCGGGTTGGTGCAGTTGGGCACCTGATGGGAATCCGCCTGCGCTGTCCTCCTGACGCGGCGACAATCCCGAGGATGAGTTGTCCCCGTTCCGTAGGCACATGAGATATGGGACATTGGGAGCATTCTGTATATCATTTGCACTCAATTTTTTTTCTGCTGCTTCCACATCGGACCCTGCAACATGTGAAGACTCCAAAATACGGTCAGGAGAGTTAGTCAGATGGTCATTAAAATTATCATCCCCATGAACACTGGACAGCTAAGGTGGAAGAAGTAGAATTTATTTGCGAAGGAGGGCACCGGCATTTGGATGAAGATGTGCAAACGGGAAAACAGTTTCATCGAACACAACATCACGAGAAACATATACTCTTCCTGTAGGAATATCAAGACACTTAACACCCTTATATTGAGGACTATAACCAAGAAACACGCATTGCTTGGAGCGAAACATGAGCTTGCGATTATTATAGGGACGGAGGTTGGGCCAACATGCGCAACCAAACACACGAAGTGAGGAATAATCTGGTCTAGTATGAAGAAGACGTTGCATAGGTGTTTCATTATTGATGACACGGCTAGGCAACATGTTAATGAGATGAAACGCCGTAAGGAAAGCCTCATCCCAAAATTTTAGGGGCATGGAGGCACCGGCAAGAAGAGCCAAGCCAACTTCAACAATATACCTATGTTTGCGCTCGGCAGACCCGTTCTGTTGATGTGCATGAGGGCAAGACACATGGTGAGAAATGCCTAATTTTTGGGAAAATGAGTTTAGTTTCTCATACTCACCACCCCAATCAGATTGGACGGCGAGAATCTTACTATCAAATTGCCGTTCAACAAGTGCTTGAAAGTTTTGGAAGACTTGAAACACATTGGATCGTTTCTTAAGAAGATAGATCCAAGTGAATTTACTGTAATCATCGATGAAACTAACATAGTAATCATGTCTACCAACAGAAATGGGGGCAGGACCCCATACATCAGAAAAAATAAGTTGCAAAGGTTTGGTAAAAACACTAGTTGATACAGGATAGGGCATTTGATGAGCTTTTGCCGTTTGACATGAATCACATATAGTTTCAGAACTACGCTCACCAACACAATGGAGCTTATTATTTCTAAGCACTTGTTGAACAATAACAAAGGATGGATGTCCTAATCGAGCATGCCACCGTTCCGACGGAAGTTTGATGACACCATAGACTTGTTTATTGAAGCTTCTAAATTGAGGAATCAATGGATATAGTCTGTGCACACATCTACCTCGATAGAGAACTCTCCTCGTGGCCTGATCCTTGATCGAAAAGAAGTAAGCGTGAAATTCTAGAAATACTTTGTTATCAATAGCAATGTGATGCACAGAAAGAAGATTCTTTGATGTGTCAGGACAATGCAAAATATTTCTAAGATGAATATCAGATGCGGGGTTTTGACAATTGAATGACCAACATAACATATCTCCATACCTTCTCCATTGGCGTTGTGAACTTGATCTTGACCCCGGTACTGTTCGGCCATGGTGACCTTCTCGAGCTCATGTGTGATGTGATTGGTAGCCCCGGAGTCAACGTACCAATTTGTGTCTAGCCCATAGGAGGTGTCCGCGGCTGCTGCAACTTTTTTCCTTTGGGAATTGTTCTCAGCATAGCAATAATCATAGTCCTTGGCGATATGGTTAGTCTTTTGCAGATTTGACACTTATTTTCATATTCATCATACCCCTGAAAGACGCTTCCTCGATTGTTGTTGTAGAGAGGACGCCGATTTTTGTTGTAGTTGTTGCTGCCGCCACCATTGTTGTAGTTGTTGCCACCGCCGCCACCAAAGTGGCCGCCGCTGCTGCCACCATAGTAGCCGCCACCACCGTGGCCATGGCCACCATTGTAGTGGCCGCCGCCATAGCTGCTGCTGTTTCCGCCTCCACGTTGTCTGCCTCCTCCTCTGGACGAGCCACGTGAAGCAGATCGGGAAGCACCACGGTGCCCTCGAGAGGCTGCCATGGTAGTGGATTTGAAGGCCTCAGCGCCGGTACCATGGAACATCTCCATGCGCTGATCGAAGTTGGAGACCATACTGAAGACGTCATCGGTGGTGAGGGGATCGGTGCAGACATCTAAGGCAGAAACTATGAGTTGATACTCCATGTCTAGTCCTCCAATAATGAAGGAGATGAGTTCATCCTCATCGATGGGTTTTCCTGCAGCGACAAGTTCATCGGCCAAGGATCGCATATAGCCAAAGTATGCGCCAGCCGATTGAGTGCCTTTCTGGGCATTGGTGAGATTAGTTCTGATGTTGTTGACTCGTGATCTGGATTGGGAGGAAAACATGCGAACTATGGCTGCCCACAGCGCATGAGATTCCTCATGGGAGGCTACTTGGATAAGGACTTCACAAGAGACATTGTTAAGGAGGAACGCAAGAACTTGTTGATCCTCCCGATGCCAGGCTGCATATGCGGGATTGATGATGGTTTGGTCTTTGCCATCGTCTTTTTTTGTGGTGATGGTTTGGGATGGCTTGGGGTGGTTTGATCAAGGTACCCGTACATGCCCGCAGCTTTGATCTGCGATAGCACTAGGGATTTCCATAGCACGAAGTTCGTGTGGGTGAGTTTTTCTGAAACCTCCGAGGCGAGGGCAGGGGAGGAAGATGAGGAGGACGCCATGGTAACGGAAGGTGGATAGCTAGATGAGGTGGAGAGCGAGGGCTCTGATACCATGAAGGAATTGATGAAGCGTCTCGATCTCCAATATGGAGACCCGCATGTGTAATTTTTTATTGTGGTGTCTCGTACAACTGTGCCACGCACGTCAGGGAATACATCGAGGGAAAAGAGAGAGAGAGAGATCCTCACGCTAGGGAGTTACAGGAGGTTGAGGAGATAAGATACAACTCAAAGGAATAAACCTCTTGGCTCCTAACAACCGAGCCATGACTAGATAACTATGATTAACAGTTTGTAGTGGAATCTCTAAAAGAGTTATATTTAGGAATGGAGGGAGTAGAAAACTGTCTAAAATTACTACTCACTCAGTAAGACATTAATACCGCAGAAGATGGAACACATTCTCTTACTAGTTACTAGACATATTGGCTTGTTGTACGATCAATCTGGATAGAGCTGAATCATTTGATACTCTGTTGTGAACTTACTGATTATCGGGATGTAAGACAACAGTGAAGTTTGATGATGGAATCTTCTTTCATTCTGCCCAAATTGTAAGATGCATGAATTTTAGCACATTCTCAATATACTGGCTTCAGATCATAACCATTTCGGATTGCCCTTGGTTAGATCATCATAATTTTAGTTGATCTATAATCAAATAAATGGTTCTCTCATGAAATCATTATGTCCCAGTCCCACTGATCATTACTCCTTCCAGTACACAAAAAAGGGATGTCCTGAGTCAAACTTTGATGAACACCATTAAAAAAACTTTGACCAACAACACTGTTTAAAATATTCAAATTGGGTTGAAAATCATGTGCAAAGATTTGTGTAGAGAAGTAATGTCAGAATATTATAATTTTTAGGGCAGTTGCACATACCATCGCAACAGAATTAGTAGTCAAAATTTTATTTTCAAGATCATGTCAATGCATCCCCTAAAAAAAGACCATGTCAATGTACAAAACGCCATTTTTCAGGAATTAGAGGGAATATTAATTATCTTTACCAATCAAAGTTTCATATTTACTATTAGGAAAGGAGTTAGATATCTTCAACCGGTTCCCTGTATTATAAATATAATGTAAGAGGTGTACCAAATCATAAACTTTGTTGCCATCTTATAGTCCTTCTGCTTGAATGCCTTATCAGCATGTGACTTGAACAAACTTTTTCTTCTTTCAAGGTGTCGTTGCTCCTAGATAACAAATAAATGAAACATGAATTGAATATTTTGAATTTTGGAATAATCATCATTTACTATGATTTGTTTACCATAAAAAACATGCAACAACTTTGTGTTCAACATTCTTCTTAGTTTGTATATCGGTGGCCTTTAATTTACCATCGAGTGCTGACACTAAAGTTAGAACAATGTCAGTCTACCTTGATAGCAAGCATTCTAGTAGGAAACATGGGAACATCAGTGGAGATCAAGGTGTTTCTTCTTTCACGAAACAATCAAGTTAAAATCATTATGTCCTTGTTAGTTAGGTACGTCATGGGATAACAACACAACAACAAAGCATTTAGTCCCAAACAAGTTGGGGGAGGCTAGAGCTGAAACTCATGGTTCTGGCACGTGGATGGCTAACTTCCATGCACGTCCATAGCTAGTTCATTGCTGATATTCTAGTCCTTTAGATCTCTTTTTACAGACTCCTTCCATGTCAAGTTTGGACTACCCCGACCTCTCTTCACATTAAATATATACATCAAATACAGAACTTGCCCAAGAAACAACTAGCCATAAGATAAACGAGTGCAACATAGAACTAGTATGTCAGTAGCTAAAATATGTTGAGGGTCTCTCCCTCTTTTCAAAAAAAACTTCTAAAATATACTACTCTTTGACCAAGATACTAATGAATACAACACACCCTGAACATGATGCTGGTGTACTTCACAACTGTGGCATGAAATTCATGATTATGAGCCTAGTTCAAGCATTCTTGTACAAGCAAGCATTTAACTATTCTACAGCATTACAAGATTTTCTTAATACTTGGCACAAAGATAAGTTTACGACAGTTAACATAAATATAACCAGAGTACAATCTACATGTAAATATTAGTACATCAGTTGCCTTATCGTAGGAGTCGATCTTATCAGGTATAACCATGTAAGTTGTTTGTACTTTTTAACCTTGGAATCAAAGGACTCTTTTACTCAATGATTTGTAATCCCTCTATAAACTAATGTAAGACCTTTTAGATCACTACTTTAGGATTTTCTAACCAGAGGGAGTACTAATTACCCATCACGAAAACCAGATTTTGTTAGGATTTTCTACTCATTACCATCCAGGGTTTTTTCATATTATGTTCTGTTACCAAATTGATAGTGAACAATAAATATGGTTCATGATGTCTATTGGTTAGCAGCCCTCTTAGATTAAAGTTGGTAGTTTGTTCCATAGTTCAAAAAGGCACACCTAGGCAAGCGCTTAAGCACGCCTAGGCTCTAGGCGGTAGCAAAACGCCTAGCGCTTAATGTGCGCATAATTGTGCTTAAGCGTGCACTTCTTTCAGAATCAAGGCACTAGTAAAATGCATAATTAATGCAGAGCGCATTTTTTAACTTTGGTTTGTTCTCAGATAGTCAGCACCAACAACTTGTTTTTTAATGATTTTCTCTTGAGGTGCAATGCATAATCACAGTACACATTGAATACTGTAGCACAAAAATATGATGGATTAGCTTTCAAATAATATTCAGTATGCAGGCAGCATAAGAACAGAAAATAACATACAATTGACTTCTTTTCTTCAATCTTTGCATGAGAAATTACTCCTTCAATACTCCAGTTTGGGACATTTGGAATTGGAGAAGTCACAGGAAACAACATTTCAACCTCTTCCATGTAATCACATATCGCAGCAAGCTCTACTGGCAACCTACCCAACTGGACAACAAAAGGAAAAATAACTTACATTTTGTCAAACAATTAACTGCTCCATTCAAGAAAAAAAATCATAGAGATTATAACAGAAGAACCTGATCATTACGTAACGTATAATCAATGAAGAAAATTGTAATATTGTCAGAAAGAACCAGAGTCACCGTAATTATCAAATGTTTTAACAATACGAATTAGGATGAAGAACCATATCAATTAAGCTAAAAATGTCAATTTACAGTTGTTATTGCATGAGTACATTGGAGAAATACTGATACCCAGAATGGTACATACTGCTATTTCATTATCTCATCAACTCCGTCAACTGTTTAGAATAATAGCAAAAGAACATGAACATTACGTGATGTACAGCCGACATAGAAAATAAGAACATCGTGGGAAAGAACCAGGATCTGCGTAATATTTTTATCAGATGCTTCAACAAGGATTTACTCAGCAAGCATTCACAAGTTTGCTTAGCAATTCAAACTGCTAGCCCACAAGGTTTCCAAGAGAGGCATTTCAGAAAAAGTTGAGGCTGAGACACCACAACAGTTTTTATGTACGAATCAGTGCCCATAATATCAGTCCTACTTATAAAGGTTGGAGTTGGTGATGAGTTCACATGTGGGGCCATACAAATAAACAATGCACTTCTACCCACATGTGAGACTAGCAATCTTTCAAAAGATATAATAAACAAATATTACTTCTACTGGTGAAAGACGTACCCAAATAAACAAATACACTGCTGCCGTAATATAAGAACAACACTCTCATAAAAATATAGATTATAAATGCATATCACTCCAATTCAAATCATGTTTTTGATTTTAATTTTTCTGCCCAACAAATTATTCCTGTTCTATAGCATAGCAGAAGACATCACACATTGCAATTTCAACGTGGTCATAGATATTGTCCTCCTACCAAATCCACGATCATATGCGTTCAAATAACTCACTCATGCCCATTCTCCTAAATTTAAATTGTTACCTCACTGTAACTCTTGCAAAGGACCACAATGGTCGCTTAAAAATCATCAATGACTACAACATGACATTTCATTCTATTTGCGTTCTCTTTTTAATCATAAACCATGCAGAAGCAGTGACACACCATCATCTTTTGATGATCTCCTATGCCAGTAGTATCTCATCGTCTATTTATGGTTCTGTAGCAACGCACGGGCATTGTGCTAGTATAGACAAAAATACTAGCTGAAGACATGAATTCTTTTTAGTTGGTCCGTTGAGTGATGATGGCATGGATATAAGTGGCTTAAAAGAGTGAAAACAGAATGCCAACGGGATGAAGAACATCAATAAGCTAAGAAAATTCAATTTATTCTAGTGTAACCTAGAATAGTACATAATGAGATATCAATATCTAATCGACTGTTAAATTAAGCACCGATATGACCTTCCAAAAAGGGGAAAATGTTGATAATTGGGTACTTATTGGATACATTAACCTTTTTAGAATAACAAGAATAGGCATGTTAGGAATGATCAACAGAAAATGTTACACCTGTTGATATAACCATTCAGAATTGGGCTGCATCCCAGTGGTGGGTGTGCGGTGACTGACCCGCCCACCAGAGTTCGATCCCCGTGAGGCAAATTAATATCTCAGGAGGAGCCCTCATAGGTCTTTTATTAATTATAAAGACTCCCAGAAGGCCGGAATGAAGAACTTCAATACACACAAGTGTGATTCCCATAAGCATAGTCAATGACACTAAGTAACCCAAACCGATCGCTAAACAAGTCCCTACATTATGATAAGAGCTGAATACAGTACCACTGGAAGCTTTAACAGAATATAGTGAAATTCTGCATACAAGGTCAGCAAATATCTAGAAAAAATATATAACATACATCATCGGGAATATTAGGATCTACTCCAGCCTTCAATAAGAGCTTAATGTAGTTGGTATAACCTCCTAGCATCGTAGCGAGCACTAAAGGAGTCGCAATGGAACCCTTGCAATCAACATCGGCACCAGCCTGTGAAATGGATTATGCAATAGAATGTTCATGGTCATATCTCCATGTACATCAACATATAAGCATGCAGAGATGGTAGAGTAAGCAAAATCACAGCATAGCATGGAAAAGTAGTCCAGAGAATACTCACCTTAATGAGTAGCTTCATGCACTTCAATGAACGGTAAACAAGAGCACTCATAAGGAGACTGTTAGCACCGTTGATAATGATGTTAGGCTGAAAGCATGGTATTGTCTTATTAAGATAATAAACAAAGGTGGCATGATAAATTCAATAGTTACTTTTGAGATGAACAAATATATGATAATTTAAAAGCATGTCATCTTATAATCAACTGGCGTGTCTGGTGGTTCAGGGGATCAGATAGTAAGTGGATCATTCAATTGTAATCCTGACCTATCATGCTTGATTAGTTTGAGGATTCGAATGGATTTTCCCATTAAAACAATCACACTTAAATCTCCATTGAGTGACCCTAAAAATGATTTTGTACCACAATATCCAAGTATGCATCAACCAAAGCAACCAAACCATACCCAGGTTAAGACATTTTGTCCACGTCATATAACTAGTTCACGAACAAAAAATTATCTGTCCAAATTAGCTGCAATAAAGAGAAATAAGAAATAGTGGAGGCCATAAACATTTGCGTGGTAGTCCAACAAAATCTTCACTGTCTTATCCTGCTCATTTAAAGCAGCCATGTAGAGTGGTGTTCCATGGCCACGGTCTATGTCAACAGGCAGTCCTTTTGACAGGAGGAACTCTGTCACATTGCAGCATCCTGTGGTGAATGGAATGATTCTGTAAGTCGTGTGGGCACAAGCATTGAACAAACGAGTGCAGTAGAGTAAATAATTACAAGTACAATGACCAGGTTGCAGAAACTAAGTGTGAGGGTGTGTCACAGGGGGAGTACCTATACACATAGCATGGTGGAGAACTGTCTGTCCTTTGTTATCTCCTTTCACGAGATCACCACCATGATCAAGAAAATACTTGACAGTAGAAACATGACCAGACTGAGCAAACAACATAAATGGAGTCGCACCTGTACCAAAAAGCACACCTCAGCGCAACCGTAGATATCATACTGCCAAACATTGACGTGGTAGCCACCAATTTTTTAAATGGAGAAAGGGATAGAGAAAGACCTTCAGCTACATCTCCACCCCCAGGAGCATTTACATCTCCTCCAAGATCCTCCAGGAAGCACCTGCAAACCTCCAAATGGCCTTCACATGCCGCGAGATGCAACACATTACATCCGTTCGTGTTGATAGAAAAAATGGCCGACAGGTCGCCATTTCTTTTGGTAAGTTTCTGATGTGCAATGGGGACCCGATCTTTCGATGAGAGGAAGATAACTATGATTTTGGGTGGGACTTGACCCTCACGATCCGGCTACCAACCGTACAGAGAGAACCGTACACGACTGATAAGCACGGCAATCGCTGAACCAACTCCACGGCGTTATCGACCGAGCCAACAGCGCGATCGACCTATCCACGAAGGATTTTTCCTGCAAGCAAATCGAAGAACATGCAAGAAAATAATAGCCAAACAATCTCAAAATTGCGAATATGCTAGATGGGATTAATCTCACAAGATGGGGTTCCGATAGGATGTCTTGACGGTCGCACCAGGCGTTACGAGCGAAGACAAATAAAAGTAGCAATATAGCTAAACTTCTCTAAACAAAACCCAAGTTAAACCCTAGCTGTAATTAACTATTTATTAGACGCAGAGACGTGCCCGAGACGCACAGGGGCGGCAGAGTCCAGACGGACGCTCTTGACGTGATGGGCCAGGTCGGCTCCTTGATGGCGTTGTCATATGCAGCAGAAGGCCCACTCTTTTTATTGTTATAATTTTGCATTGGACGTGGTAGCAACAATAGTAGCTGACCCCACCAAATACGCATGCATGCACATGTGTATTTTGCATTGGACGTGGCAGCGTGGTTGGACTTGTGGCTTGTGATAGCTTGCATGGTGATGGGCACATGTATGTACACATGTGGATTTGGCATGAATGATTCAAGCTTGGTGTTCTTAGACCGGCCACGTTTGTCCTCAACTATCTTCATCTTTATACACACTGGCGATGTCTTTTTGGTAGCTTCTTCTGTACAAGCGATGTCCATCATCCTCTTTTCCTTGAAAACAAAGTCGTCCCCGACTTTCGTTTAGCTGGAACCTATCATGCAGAAAAGCAAGAATGTGTGTAGTACATATATTCCTGGGCAAATGCATGAATTCATGGAGCGTAGGAATAATTGCAGCACATGAAGGTACATTATTAGATATTCTCTTAGAAACTAAAGCATGTTGTGGAGACTGCAAACTGCCATGTAACTCATCATTCGTGTCATGCAGAGAAAAGTATACAGTACTACGTTCACTAATGGGTGCAGGCAAGACACTAGAGAAAGAACAAAAATTATCAGGCGAACAATTGATTTGCTTCCACGCAATATCTATAGATAAATTAAGTGAACTCATAGATACTACTAGAACACAAGGCATCAACAAATCAGAAGTTGAGACACTTAATGGAAATTTTTCAGAATTGGTAGCAAGCATACTATGCATAGTACGATCCATCGATTTAGATTGGTCACAATTTATTATCTCATCGGGGCTCATAGGAAGCAAGTTAATGGTTTTTCCTTCAAACACGAGAGTATACGAATTTTTTCTACCATGATGGATAACACTATTATCATATTGCCAAGGTCGACCTAACAATAAAGAACAAGCTTGCATATATACGACATCACAGTTAACGTAATCATGATATGAACCAAGTGTAAAATGAACTCGCACACGACGTGTCACCTTCAACTTACCACATTCGTTGAACCATTGGATGTAATATGGATGGGGATGTCTCGTAGTGGTGAGGGAAAGCTTCTCTACCATCTCCATACTCGCCAAATTATTGCAGCTTCCACCATCAATGATCACACGAACCGAATGTCCTCTGACAACAAACTTAGTTTGAAAAAGATTATGACGTCGAGGCATCTCAACATGCCCCACCTGGGCACTAAGTACTCGCATGGTTACAAGGCTTGGGTACTGATCGGCCATCTCAGCATTAATATGTATCTCCTCTGTGTCATGCTCCTTAGTGTCACCTGCATTATTAGTGGCAAGCATAGCATGTGTATCTTCATCCAAATCACTAGCAGAGGAGTACTCACCGTCTTCCCGCACAATGAATGTTCGTTTATTTGGGTAGTCCTTCATCAAGTGCCCGCCACCGTTGCATATATGACACTTCATGTCCCTTGTGCGTCCAGACGAAGTGGTGGGTGCTAGAGAAATTGCTTTCGAAGCCTCGGATGATTGTGGAGCTGATTTTGAACTTGATGGGTGTGCACCATTGTGCAAGATAGGTGGTGTTGACTCAGTAGTGGACGGAATAGTAGGAGAGGGTGTCCATGATGAGCGGCGACCTGCAGAAAAGTTACTTCGTCCCTTGTTGTGTCGTCCTTGTACTTCCCTTTCAGCTTTACAAGCAAAATGAAACAAACGAGTAATAGAATTGTACTCCTTATAGTCCAATATATCCTGAATATCACGATTCAAACCACCTAAAAATCTAGCCATCATAGCATCTTCGGTTTCAACTAAGCCACATCGCACTAAGCTAGTTTGCAATTCTTGATAATAATCCTCTACAGAATTGCTACCTTGTTTTAAACGTTGCAATTAATTTAGTTTATCACGAGCATAATATGAAGGAACATAGCATTGTCGCATAGCTCGTTTTAAACCATCCCAGGTAGTAGGTATATTATTCGCATTAATACGACAATATTCACTCCACCACATGGAAGCAAAGTTTGTAAATTCACTAGTGGCTGCCCTAACCCTTTGGTTCTCAGGAATATCATGACATGCAATTTTTTGTTTAACAGAAAGTTCCCAGTGAAGATAAACATCTGGATTATATTTACCATTGAAAGCAGGCATAGTAAATTTGATTTTGGCAGTAGAGTGTTCATAATCTCTAACATCATACCTGGGTTGACCTCGTGCCATACCGTGATGGTTGAAACGTAGTTGTCGATGAGCACAGTCATTGTGGTGGTTGACCATTTGGTCGTCTTCGGTGTCACCAGAATAATCCTCGTAGTTGTCCCCATGTTGCTCGACGCGGGGAGGAATTTGTTAGTGCTGGTTTATGGTGGCGGCATCAGTGGCAGTAGCTGGGTGTTGTGGATGACCCATGGGCACACACCGAGCTCGCGAAATAGCGGCAACACCCGCGGAGTTGCGAGAATCAACGTTGGTGTTGACGTGGGGTGCAGCCTGCAACTCATCCAGACGTGACAAGATGTCCTGTAGATGTGTGTTGGCAACACCCTGTGCATCCTCGATGGCCTTGAGCCTCTCTTCGGCCGCAATTTGAGCACCCTCAAGTTGTGCGAGACGCTCGCTGGTGACTTTCACATCCGCGGTGAGACCCTCAAGTGTGGGTTGATCCTGTGCCATTGTTAGCGAAAGAGAAAAACACAGTGTATAAACCCTATCAACTAGTAGGTCGTGGTGGAAAACAATAATCGCTCACACTCAAGCTTAGTATCAAATTCTTACTTGTTCTTACCAATGCAACAGGTGGTGACCGGCGCGTTGGTGTTGGCTTCAAACGACCGATGAAGATTGGTTGGAGCGATAACCAGGAATCAGTAGAGCCGCGACCTGTACTTATTGGTAGGGAAAAAATGTAGCTTGGAAAAGGCTTCTCAACTCACAATATTGGTGGCACAATTTAGCAAAAAGCAATGCAAGTTGAATAATTACTCAAACTCCTAACTAGTGCTGGCAGTCGACTAGCAAAAGAGAAAAACAATCTAAGCCCAGATACTGAATCAAATGTGTGAGAAAATTGTTGAGTAGGAGAAGACACACAAATATATAATAAAACTCAAAACAGATGATGTATGTGCAGTGTCCAAAGTGCAGCAGCAAAAATAATAGATGCTAGTCCAGAACGGAACAAAACAGCCCAGAATAGATGCTAGCCGGCCTGATTTGCTTTTTTTTCTATGTCTTTTTTCTTTTTTTTTTCACTTTTTTTCTTTTTCTTTTGCTTTTTTTTCTTTCACCGGGCCGGTTACCAACAAGTATACGCATGGACGGAGATAGGACTAACAAGAAACTTGTGTGCTCTTCGAAATGCAAAAAGCAAACTGCACAACACAACTCACGGTGACGGGTGATGGAACGTGTGCTAAAAGAGGTGATGAGTAATGCAACGTGTGCTAGTAGTGGTGGAAGTAATCATGTACTGATGGATGACCGGATAGGATCGGGATGCTCCTGTCTAGCGGACAGAAGCTGGGACGTGGGATGCAGGTGCAGCTCGTGCAGGCGCGTGTGCGAAACAGAATACACCCGAAAAGCGGCGAACGACGGGGCAGGCGGATGGATTGGCGTGGCGCGCAACCGAACAAAGGAAGATTCGTCTTTCGTTTACCTGTTCAGATCACGGATGAATTTCGGCGAAAAATATCGTGGACAAAAGCAAAGTTCGATCTAGTAGAATATTTTCTCGCGGACTAATCTAGACCAGCACTAGTATTAGATGAATGCAATCAAAAATTCAACAAAGCAAATACTAGATGCAAATTGCTAAAGGCTAAAAAAGATAGGTGCAACGGATGAACTAATCTAATTTTTTTGGGCTTTTTTTTGGTTGTAGGACTAAAAAACAATCTAACCAAATAAAATTGTAAATCTCTCACCGATAAATCTGAAAATTGATACCACTTGATATGCACTGGGGACCCGATCTTTCGATGAGAGGAAGATAACTACGATTTTGGGTGGGACTTGACCCTCACGATCCGGCTACCAATCGTAAAGGGAGAACCGTACACGACTGATAACCACGGCAATCGCTGAACCAACTTCACAGCGTTATCGACCGAGCCAACAGCACGATCGACCTATCCACGAAGGATTTTTCCTGCAAGCAAATCGAAGAACATGCAAGAAAATAATAGCCAAGCAATCTCAAAATTGCGAATATGCTAGATGGGATTAATCTCACAAGATGGGGTTCCGATAGGATGTCTTGACGGTCGCACTAGCCGCTACGAGCGAAGACAAATAAAAATAGCAATATAGCTAAACTTCTCTAAACAAAATCCGAGTCTAAACCCTAGCTGTAATTAACTATTTATTAGAGGCAGAGACGTGCCCGAGACGCACAGGGGCGGCAGAGTCCAGACGGACGCTCTTGATGTGATGGGCCAGGTCGGCTCCTTGATAGCGTTGTCATATGCAGCAGAAGGCCCACTCTTTTTATTG